TGAATCGCACACATGATCAGTGAGAATCTAAATTCGAAATATACCGGAAAGAGGTACTCACTCTCATGACAAAGTTTTTCTTGATGAAAAAGAATCCTCCGACAGAAAGGCCGAGCGGGGTCATTTCGAATCTCTTCATGAAATCTACAAACTAATCAGACAAGTTTATTAATCAAAATAGATTACAATTGATTAATTATTAAATTCGCCTATTAAGTATTTAAGCGGTGTCAACCTTCAGTTTGCTTTCAATTTTCATGTGGACAGAAGAAAATCTTCTGATTTCTATGAAGCTATTGTACAACTGAAAAGAAAATAAATGAAATCTAATTTAATTTATATTCTATTAATTATTTTTAGAATAAGTTCGCGTTAAACTCTGCATTGTAAAGTATATTATAAGAGCGATTAAAAACGGTATTCATTCAGATACAACACGAAAATAAAAAACTCCATCAGCGAGTTCTTTAACTTCTCCGAGTAAATTTAAAACTGTGTGACGCCATTCGTTAAATAAAATATGCCAACAGATGACTCTATAAATGCTGTTTTAATAGAGAAAGTAGCCATAAAAGGTACGATTTTCTATTTGAACTTATATGTTAGTTATGTTATGGTTTGCAATTGCATAAAGATTTTACATGTTCCATGCAATTAAATAAGTAATAGCATAAATTGTTTAAATTAAATTTCAAGTTAGCTCTTTTTGACGTATGGCACTAAAGGTTAGTTCACTCATTCACGAAATGGCAAAATTTGCTGGAAACCACGTCGTATCTGACGCGTCGTTCATTCCCTCCGTTTTTCGCCTTCGTCAGCGAATTGCGCTGAGTGTTAAGACGGTCTTTATGAAGCCCGTTACGAATTCGGTAAGGTCTTTAACGTGGCAGGAAGCTTTGTTTTACTTTGACTCGTCCGTACACTCTAACCACTAAGGAAGGCTTCACTAGTCTCGACACAGTGGGAACATTAAATTAAATAGTGGAGAAGCTTATATTTGGATACCGAGACAAAGAAGAAAGTGATGAAAAGAGAAATTGGTGTTTCGTGTTTGTTTTAATTCACTGGTCTGTCTTTCACTATACAATATAAGAACTCGTAACAAAATAATAAATCGTAAAAGAAATGCGTCATAGCCATTTAATTCCAATGACGATACAGTAATTTATAAATGAAAATTATCGACACGAGAAACGTATTTATTTTCTATTTTTATTACGTAAACGAAGATAGCGCTTACCTCAGATGTTAAACGGGACAAAGCAAAGGAAAGTAGGAAAATCACGAAAAATAAAGCTAAACATAAAGCCGAAATGATGATTCTCAGGAGCAAGTTTATGTCGATGAATGCCACCACGTAAATGAAAAAACAATTGACGTACAGAGCCACGGCGTAGATCAGAGGAAAGACGTATTCGCACACTTCGTTCACCTGTACCAAACCGTCCAAAATTTCCGTGTGCTTTTCTACGCAACTGTTTAAGAAGACCTCCAAACGACTGTGTTCGGCGTGCAAACTTTTCATCGTTGTTGACAAAGTTTTTAATCTTTCGAACATTATAAATCCAACGACGAAACCTTGCAAGACGGAAAGGAAAATAACAGCAAAATAATATATATGACTGATATTTATAAGAATGCAACAAAATGCCGCTCTTCCGGAAGTTTTCTTATCTGTTATGATTGGAAAACCGAATATATCAACTACTAGAGATTCAATAAGTGAGTTAATGAAGTAGAGAATAAGTGAAATTAACGAAAGTGCTTCGAAGTATTTGTTTAAGGAGGTTTCTTCTTCGAAAGCGCTTTTCTTGTATTCGAAGTACAGTTTTCTTCTTTTAAATATGCCAAAAAGAACAGAACAAGACAGATAAACAATTAAATATATCAATCTGATAAAACTATTGCCGGTTCCGTAAACGTATATCCACTCACTGCAGGTTACGCCTTCGAAAAAGGTTTCCAGAAACTGTCGAATTGTCATAGTCCACAAGAAAAGTAGTACTGTGTTTTCGTAACACCCGTAAGCTTTGTTCGGGAAGAAACGAAATTTCGGTTTTCTTTCGTTCTTCTGGCAGTTGCAGTCCATAATTATATTCGTGGCGAAGGCTTTGGCCGCTCGAAGAACAAAGTCGATCTGACAAACTGGACACCCGGCAGTTACATGTGAATCCATAATCGACTGTAATGGAAGTAAAGAATGCTTAGGAGCTAATACTGATGTTTAAACACCGACATACGTTTGTTCGGATGGCAGAAGTAGGGGAGAGCGGGGCTACAAGTTCCGTTTTTTATTCAACCTCATAATTTGTTAATGAAACTTAATTCTAGCATAAGTATTGAGATATTAAAATTTACTAATATATCTAACTTTGCTATTAAGACAGTTTTTGGGGTTATTTTTTGGTAAGATTTTTTATAATTAATAATACAATACCTAAAGTCAGAAAGTAACAACTTACCCCGATTCGGGGCTAGTTGTTAACAGGGTGGGGCAAGTTGTTACGAGATCTATGGAAGGTGTAATATGTAAAAAAAAACAATAATTTATTTAACTAAGTACGTATTTAAGGACTAATCAATAATATCTGATGAATAATTAGTTGTTTTTCTTAAATTTATTATAAACTAAACATTTTTACATTTTAACATTTATAATTTTTACTTAAAGATTGAAACATTAACCATTATATTAGCTTAAGTAGCTAATCAGCCTTGAAATTATCAATTATCAGTCTTCAATCATATCAGAAAGTCGTCTTTGACTGAAAATAATATTATATTTATAAATCATCACAAGATTCATCAGAACCGCAATTCGGACAAAAGTATGTTAACATGTCACGATATTTTCTACATCTGGAATGGGCCCAGTTCTTACATTCTTGACACTGGATCCATTCTTCACCAGAACGTGAGTTAGAGTAACGGTCACAGCAGACTAAACAATAATACTCTAAACTATCCTCTTCATTCTCAGAACTT